CCTCCTCTATTGTTGTAAATCTTGTACTCTCCCTACATAATGTAATGGCTTCTCCCGTGGATATAGGCGGTTTTGCCGAACCACGTTAAATATTGTGTCAGTGTGCTTGGCTCTCCTATAAGCAAGTATTAGAACATCACCGGTCGGAATTCCCAACAGAGAGGAGAGGAGACCAAAATTCTCCCCTAGGACTGCAACATGAAGAATAGATTGTCCATCATTCCTTTGGCGATGAACTAATAAAAGCTCATCATTGACTATTTGTGCAGGTGGAGTCAAATACTTGACTATTTTAGTCCGACCAAACGCAGCAGCTCTAAACAATGGGGTCTCGCCGAACTTGTTTTTCATCAACATTATATCTTTTTTCTCATTTTCTGAATCACCCACAAGGATTTTCTGCGATTCTTCCACCAAGAGCTTTACTGCCTCATAGTTTCCTCTGCTGGCTGCTAAATGCAGTGGTGTGTTTCCATATAAACATTTGTAATATTAATGGGATGCTCATGAACCAGGGACATAGGCAAATACTGTGCAGAAGCAAGTAGATCCTTGAGCAATTTCTCATCTTCACTGTAGACAGCCATATGAAATGCAGTATCTTTGGAGACTCGCATTGGAGTCAACAGGCGATCTTTATGTTTCTCATAGAATTCAGCCAGGCTTTTCCAGTCTTCCCTCAAGGTTGCGAGGTAGACTTCCTTCATTTCTGAAGGATTTCCCATCTTGCTCTCTCTGTCGAATTGGTTTTCTGCCTGAATTCATACCAGAGGAAACAGTTATGAAACCATATTAATTAAACCAAAAAAAAAAAGGAAGAAAAGCACCTAACAATGCATAGATATTCTATAGGTATTCCAGTGAATTACATCTATGCACTGACTCGGAAGTTACAAATTCAGAGTGGGAAAATTCAAATATCCCAACATCAAATTCATAGAATAAATGAATAATTAACCAACAAATGGCAAGGGAACAAGACCAAGCGCATACAAACCTTTTTGCTAGTTTATGCTGTTGAATGACACCGAATTTCAGAAAAAATAGACTGGTCTCCTTTAAAGCCAAGTAAAAACGTTGTCTCAACGCACTCAATAAATAAAGAACAAAAGAAGGGCATCTGCACTTCGCATGCTTAGCTTGTAGAGCTACAACACTACTAAAATATTCAGTTAAAAGTTAGAATGATTATGTTAAGCAATGCTCTATGATGCAAGCTCCAAGTCATCATCAGATCTTCCTCTTTCCTTTATTTATTCCTGCAAGAAAATGTGATGAACACGATCATTTAAAGACGATTACGATGCTTAGCTTATTAATTATGTTTTGTATCCCATGGAGATTATGCTCTTCCTTCCATGTCCATTCCTCACCGCGGCTATTCAACCATTGGCAGGAGTAAAGCACAACGTGTAAAACGACCATCTGGAGCAAGAGGAAGTCAAGAAAGAAACAGACAGAATGGAATCCCGTACCAAATATGAGTGAACTAAAACAAGCATCAGATCCACACACACAACACGCACACCACCACCACCCATGAGGCATATGAGTGAACTAAAACAAGCATCAGATCCTCACCCCCCACCCCCCCAACCACCCATAAGGCACAATATCACCAAAACCAGTGTTTTTCCACCATTCACCCTCCACTCTAATATGCAAATTATAGGCCTGAAAATGGGAAAGCATCTTTTAGCATGCCTGGAAAGGAGGACACACCGGTCCCAGATTGGGTACAGTTTCTTGGAGACAAATGAAAATATAAAGAAGGCCTGAAATTATTATTTTTTATTTCGGGAAACCAGTATTCAAAACTATTTGTATGGTCAAGTAGTGAACTTTTACGAAAAAGAAAAATGGATGCTAACTAAATTAGTTCGATAAAAAAATTGAAGTTTGGAAGGGAGGAATTCAAAAGGGAAAATATTTTCACTTAAAAATTTAAAAAGTCCAAGTTATAATTGCCAACATTCACACCATTATAAAAGATATAGACAAATATTGAGAGAGAAACAAGAAAGAAAAATCACATTTAATCAAGTTAAAAATCATATTTTTGAATAAAGGGTTTTGGCCTGGCGATAGAAGGGGCTTGTCTTCTTCCACTGCATCTAGGTTCGAGTTCTCATGTACACGCCTATTATTCTCGCGGTGTTTTATATGTCTATTAGGTTTACAGGATGTTCAGTGGGCTGTGGAATTAATCGTGATACGCGCAAGCTGGTCCAGACACCCATATAAAAAAAAAATCATATTTTCGATAACATGATATACACCTTGACAAATATATATTTAGAATTTGTTTAGAGTATGTTAAATATTATTTTTTAAATATATTTAGGTTTGTTTATTTCTTATTTTTTCCCAAAAATTGAACCACCTTCCGCTAGTGTTCGTTTTTACGATAGCTTTAGCGTTTAAAGCATGTCATCCTCCATTATTACGTAGTTCTGCAGTAAATTTCTTGACAGGATAGAGCAAATAAATTATAGCTGAGATAATAATTCTTGTTTATGTAATTAAACGTGCTTAACACCAAAACCAAATAACAATTAGGTAGCATTCCTGTTTCGGAATAACAAGTGAATCGGTCTTTCAACTCGCCAAGTGACATATCCAGTTTTAACAAGGATTTTCTTTGATTCTTCCACCAAGAGCTTTACTGCCTCAAAGTTTCCTCTGCTGACTGCTAAATGAAGTAGTGTGTTTCCCTAAACATTTGTAATATTAATGGGATACTCATGATCCAGGGACGTAGGCAAATACTGTGCAGAATCAAGTAGATCCTTGAGCAATTTCTCATCTTCACTTTACCCAGCCATATGAAATGCAGTATCTTTGGAGACTGGCATTGAAGTCAGCAGGCGATTTTTATGTTTCTCATAGAATTCAGTCAGGCTCTTCCAGTCTTCCCTCAAGCTAGCTAAGTAGACTGACTTCATTTCTGAATCAGTTCCCATCTTGCTCTCTCTGTCCAGATGTTGTTACGCCTGAATCCTCACCAGAGGAAACAGTTATGAAACCATATTAATTAATCCAAAAAAAACAACAACAATAAGAAGAAAAACGCCTAACAATTTATAGATATTCCACTAGTGTTCCAGTGAATAATCGAAGTTACAAATTAAACGAAAATTACAAATTCAATGTGGGAAAATTCAAAAACTCCTCACATCAAATTCATTGAATAATGAATAATTAATCGACAAATGGCAAGGGAACAAGACCGAATGCACACAAACCTTTTTGCTAGTTTATGCTGTTGAATGACATCGAATTTCAGAAAAAATGGACTGGTCTCCTTTTAAGCTAGACGTAATCTCAACCTACTCAATAAATAAAGAACAAGAAGAAGGGTATCTGCAGTTTGCATGCTTAGTTTGTAGAGCTACGGCACCATTAAAACATGTACTGCTACGTGTTACGTTAAAAGTTAGAATGCCTTGTGTGAAAACAATGCTTTAGAATGGGACACGCCTAAAATTAAATTTAATGAGCCCGGGCTACATGTCTAGGCCCAGCTTTAAAGAATAGCACCACCCTTAGTTTAGAAAAAGAGCTCATCCTCTCATTAACCCGGCCTCAAAAAAAATTCTTGCCCTCGTGAATTGAATTTTGAAGAAGAACCCACAACCATGAGCTTAACTAAGGAGACGAGTCTACTCTCGTAGACTTGGTTGTGGAGAAAAACTCAAAGTCATGAGCTCAGTAGAGAAGAAAAGATAAACTTTCATGGACATGTACTTGATTTTGGAAAAAAATCCACTATCATGAATTCAACTTAAAACAATAACTCAACCCTTATGTACTCAGTTTAAGAAAAGAGGGCTCCTTATCATGAGCTCAGCTATATTTTCTATTATATTTTTTCTGAATATAAAAATCTCTTAACAACTTATTATATTTTTATTGATGTTAATATTATATAAGAGATAATATATAAAATTCATTTAGAAGCCTATTATATCATTATTAACATTAATATTGTGTAAAGAATAGCGTATAAAAATTCTCTAAAAATCTATTATATTTTCATTGATATTAATATTATGTAAGGATTAGTGTATAAAAGTCATTTGGAAACCTTTCATATTACCACTAACATTAATGTTCGTGTAAATAATTTTTATCCCTCATCAATGTATATATCAGGGATATTTTTACTCATTAAAACTATCTAGATAAAATTATATTTAACTCATTCTTTCTATAAAGAAAACAAAATTATAGGTTATAAATACATTATGAATTTTTTAAACACGAGGTTTATAATTTCTTTATTTTTCATGTTTTTAATATGTATATTTTTAAAATTTATCTTTTTAAAATATTATTATATTTTTTCTTTCTAAAAAATTACTTATTTATATATTAAATAGCCCCTAAACCAACAAAACATGATATTTTTCGGGTGTCCACCACCAACCGCTTTTTCCCACCATGCATCGCTACCAATATCTTAGCTAAAAAGAGAAGTACAAATTGTTTAAATTAAAATATTAATTAACTATCATATCAGCTCGATATTCTTGTTCAATCTCACAAGATGGAGAGTTTTTCTTTCAACCCTCCACTCTAAAATGCACATCTTGGGCCTGAAAATGTGAAAGCATGATTTGGGTCATTGTGGGCTTTCAAAATAGCATGCCCGGAAAGGGCTGGCAGTTGTTTCAGTCCTAGGTTTTGACGAGTAAAAAAATAATCAGGGAAGAAACCACAATTCAAGAGATAATTTAGGCTTAACCCAATCTCTTTTTTTTTTTTTTTGCCCTTTCAGAGAAGCTAATTTTAATCATAACATTGAATGGGGCCAATTAATGGATCTCACACCCAGCAGTTAAAATTGTTGGTAAAGTAATTTTGGAAGGAACTTAGATAAAATAGCGTGTGGTCAAGATGTGTATTAGTTCTAGCTGAATTGAACACTTTTCAAATTAAATTAATTTTAATACCTGTATTTTTTTTTTCAATTATAGTAATATAACAATAAAAGATTATTATACCTCAAAAATATCGTTTTATTTTTTCAATTGTTAAAAAAAATGGAGTCGAGTACACTAAATAATCTAGAAGCTCGTTAACCCAACAAATTTACAAACCAAGCTGAATCCGACAACTATGCTGTTGAGAAATCTATGAGGCGAGTTTTGCAAGTTTATTGTGTAGTTTTTTTTTTAATTTATTTTATTATGAAGAACATTGGGCATTCCTCGCAACACATCGCATCCATTATTTATGTCCTTGGTCGATATCATGTACACTACAAAAATATACGAGTACCGGTATGCAAAAATAGAGTATAGTAGTTTTTGCTGAAAATCTGACGAAATCCTAACAACCCTGACCATACGATTCACTAATTGACGTCAATAAAAGACTCTGCCATCCAACCACCAGAATCCTCGAGGCAACGATATTTTTCGCTTAGCGTTCATACAAGGGAAGTAAGCAGTGAGGCACCAGCCTTGAGACATGATTGAGGCAATTTTCATTGATGGTGATAATAGAAGTAGATGGGGCCAATGTGAGGGTCAGATCCATTTGGACACAGATAAATCAAGACACAGGTTCTTTTCCTTGTGAGTTCACTGATCAATGCAATGAAAAGAGGCAGGCCCCATCTTGACTCAGCTTGATGGAACTCATTGGGCGCTCCTCTTCTTTTCCAGCAAGCAACAGTGCTGATAAGAATATTCTCACGTCTTTTCTTTTGCTTCCATGGTTCTTTTTCATTGCTCAACTCCCTGTTATTATTAATTCTCTTTTTTTTTTAAGCTTCCATTGCATCCGGCCATCAAGATTTATTATCTTTGTTGTTTCTCGCAATATAATGGTTAATTATGTTCGAGAATTAGTATAAAATTCAGCAATTCTTTAATTAAACCGAGCCTATGAAATCTTGCAATGGTTGAGATTTCATTTTGTGTAAATGGACTAGGGAGTGTTCAATTCCTGGCTTGCAGGAAAGAAAAGTCTCTGAGTTTTGTATTTTACTGTTTAATTTGTATCCTATCGTGTCCTCACAAGTCTCTCAGGAACTCTGATTCTTGGATGGATCAGATGCATTGAATGATACTGTCACAATTACCATAATTATATATTGAATTTAGTGCTCAACAAATTCCTGCCATGAGATAACCTATTTTCACCTTCCTTCAATGGGCACGCACTAAAATTCCCTTGCTACATGTGTACACACATACGCACGATGGTAAATGGGATCAGACTGGGAGCCTGTATTTGTAAATGCTCTGAATTCGCAATAAGATTATTCTGTATAAATGGTCCCCTCTAACGTAGAAGAAAGATTCAGAGATGGAAGATGGTCCCCTCATTTCATTTCCTTTCTTTCCCATGGCAATCTATTTTGTTGCTGTTTCATCAAAAGGAACAGCGTGGTCTCAAAGCTTGGTGTGTCTCACTGTTGCCCAGCTTCTGTTTGACGAGTTCGTACAGAGATGGAGAATTTGGGAATCAACTTTGCTGAGTTACACGTGTCAAGTACCCATTTAACCAAGTATACGGTAAGAATTCATGGGAACTTGCTACTAGCTATCTAATGTTTTTCCTTATTATCGACAGGCGGCCACTCCATTCTTACCTCAAGCTGGACATGCACCAAATGGATCCCACAACATTGGATACCCGATGCCACAGGATGTCTCTGCAAAGCCCTAACCTCTCCGTTTTGGATATATAATGGTAAACCGGTCTCCATTTAACACAGTTTATGCAACCTTTCTGTTTAAGAAACCAAAGCAACAAGAAGAAGATACGCGCGAGGCCTTAGGATGGATTGAAACACTGCCCCCACGATATAAACCTTAAAAATCTGATCCTTCAGAGAATTGAAGTTAAAGACAAGCTACGATTAGTACATGAAGGTTGTGTGTTTTGTTTTTTGGTGCTAAAATAGAGGTTGTAATGGCAACATCTCATGAGATTTGTCATATGTGTAATTTAAACATAACCCAGTTGTACATGCATCTTGTTAAAAAAAGAATTCAATAATGCATCAAATGTATGCTCATCTTTCTTCAATTTAATTGCTTAGGTGTTTTTGTAGGTTTTTTGTTTATTGAAACAAAATATTTATTGTATTAGATTTTGAATAAATTATTTTGAAGAAATTACTACTTGAGAGTTTACGTGATACTAAATTTAGTAGATTTTAAATTTGAATCAGGACATATATTTTATAAGTTTAAAATAATATAATTTTATATGTTCATCTCAACTTATAAAGTATGTTTTATAAAAAGTGAAGTTTGGTTGAATAAAAAAAAAAGTGATATAAACTCAGCACACTTAAAATTAGTAAATTTACTATGAGGCATGTTTCTGATATTGACTAGTGTCCATCAATGGCAGGGAGTCTCTGTTTGCTTTTTTATTCAAAGCTAAGAAAAACTGCTGTAAAGTCCTTTATTTTCCATTTCTGAATTGTTTAAGTGTAAATCAAACAGCAGCAATGCGCAGCTTTGGCCTGTGTAGAATACCCACATGAAACAACAACGGGCAAACAGCCAACAGTCTTATGGACGTAATATAGCAGGCTGTGTTATCCATCTTGCAGACGAAGCTTGGGGTTCTAATTTCACTGACTTTTTTGCATTTTCATGTAACTTTCCTTTTCACCATTTCACTTGAAAGCAAAAGAGAGGGTAAATCATGATCAGGGCATGACTTTTTTCTCTGATTGCAACCTATTCTTTGCCTGGTGTCTTTTTTGCCTAAAAAGTGCAGTCCCAGAACGTAAGAATTTAAAATTTGAAGCACGTCACTCTGCAGTATTGATGCTCCCATCAACACTTTCTTCATTGTGCTCTTTCTTGTTTTGGGAACCGTATAGAACTATAGATCTGCAGGCAAGAAAATAATTTAAAAGATATTTTGTGAACGCAATGTTATACAAGTCTGAAGAAAATATGGCATGAAAAATTAAAATGTTGATTTGAGGTGTGCTAATTGTAATGGATTTCAGGTATTTACGAAATTCTCGATCGGAACTTGAAAAATATTTTATTTTAGACTGAGGTCAGTTTAATCTTTTGATTTTATGATTATGACAGATTTAATAATTAGTTAAAGTTAATCCCTAATTGTTCATATAAAAGTTTAATTTCAGAACCATTCTGTCAGAAGAAGAAGAAGAAGAAGAAGGGGAAACTCATATTTTTAGTCTGAAGGCATATCCAACAAGACCTATGAACTATAACTTTTCTCAATTGGATCCTCGAAGTATAAGAAATTCCTCAAGTCTTTCCATCTGTGACAATCCATACTTTTTTACATGATTTTAACATATATCATTTAATAGAGTTGGATTTTATTTTATTTTATTACAGAAATCATGATGATTTTTAAATAAAAAACAACTTAGGATTATCCAACAGCTGTTCGAAATGAACAGGAAAGTAAGGTCGCCATCAAATCTAAGGTTACAGTTATTTATTTGAAAATTTTAATATATATATTTTTTATATTAATATATTAAAATGTAAAAAAAATTAAAAATTTTAATTTAATATTAAAATATTTTAATTTTTTAAAATATAAAAACAAACAGGCCGGTCAATCTTAGCGTTCAAACGAAGAAGAACTTTAGGTGGAGCCCACTTTGCGACACGTCTGTGGCCTTCTTCAATCCAGCACTGCACCAAAACTTTACAGACTGTGTTGCATTCAATAGGCCTTGCCATAGGTCCAGAGACGGATTTCTCCAGTAAATAAGTCCGGTTAAGATATGGAAAACCAAATAAAAAAAATAAAAAAATACGAAGTTTATATTAAAAAAAACTATATGAATACGAAGTTTAGATACTGAATAGCAATATTTTTAGTTTTCTTTATATGGAAAACCAAAAAAAAATACGAAGTTTGGATACTGAATAGCAATATTTTTTTTTATTAAATAAAAAAATAAAAAAGAGAGAAAATCAAATTTATAACTTGTAAAAAATAATAATAATAATATCTTGAAACATTTTCTCTATCTGTTTTTTTAAATAAACTAAGAAAGTAATTATTAGAATGTTCATGAGTACCATAAAATTACCTGGAAAACCTATCACAACATGAAACATATATGGCAAAGGAGAAAACTGCAATTTACCAATTTTTAATTTTATCTATTTGAATGTTGTCTAATTGTTGTTGTTTTATCTATAGTTATCAAACCAAATGTATAAAAAAATTTAGGTTACTTGGTTTTGAATTTTTTTATTGATTTTTTTTAAATAATTTTTAATGTTGAGATAAACGAATTCAGACTTTATCACTAAAAATCAATTAATTTTTAAATTAATTAAAAAACCTAAATTGAATTAAGAGGTTTAAATTTCGCAGATCAATTCACCAATCTAAATTGTGGTTATAAGCTATGGTTGTTTCCTCTCATCGGGCAGCCGTCTTGGCTGGAAAGGAGAGTGGGGTGATCAACAATGGACAGGAGGGCGGCAGCTAGCGTTTTTTGGATTTTTTGCTCTTTCTATGAGGATGCCTCCCTCTTAAAAAAATAAATTCCCTTTACCTGGTCGTTATCCAAATGTGCATCCAGAGGACATTGAATCTGGACGAAGACGGCTCATTGCGAGTTGTTGGGATAGTTTTTACTAGCTATGGACCGGCTCTAAGATGGAGGCTTGTTTTTATTTTCTGCATAAAAAATAATGAAGCTTAGATTTTGAAATTGAATACGGAATTACCAAAGATGTACTAAGATGTACTTTAATTGAGGGGAGTTGATTCAGTATGATAAATTTTTAATATTGATAATTAGAATTTATTCGATCAGAATTATCTAATTAAATTTATATTTTAAATCATAATATTAAGATAAATTTATTAAAATAATAATAAAAATCACATTAAAGAAGAAAAAACAAATTTTAATCTCTAATAACTTTTCAAACTAATAATATCATTAACCCGAAAGCATCCTATTTAAAGAAAAAAATATAAAATATAATCTTCATTCAATCAAATATTAAATAATTAAATTATAAAAATTATAAAAAAAATTAAAATAAAAAAATAATAATTAAAAAAGTGATGATGAAATTGAAATACAAAATAAATTTGATATTTAATTAAATTCTGAAATTGAAAAAAAATCAATTCAACAAAAGACTAGGAAAAACAAAATAAAAAAAAAATCAAATTAAAAAAATAATATATAATAAATTAGAATTAAAAGATAATATTAAAAACTAATAAAATTTCTACAAAAGAACTAAGAAAAAAATAAAAATTGAAATTCAAAATCTAACATTAAAAAGAATCAAATTATACTTTCAGTGGAGGGTAAAAAGAAAAAGAATAGAAAGCTTCACTAGTAAAAACTTGTCTCGGCATCATCTACATGTATCATACCTACATGAAAAGGATATGATTGCACTTTTAAAAACATGGTGGATGTACAATTTTTTACTATGATAGGTGTAATATGTGCCGCTTAAAATATACATGTGTCTCTATTAGTAGACGTTTGCACCATGTATGCTAACATGTTTTTTAATTTAAGAATTATTTAATACATGTTCAAATGTAAAATAGCTTCTTTATAAAACTAAAACAACAAAAAAATAAAAATTATAATGAAAACACTAAAGAACCTTTGTAACTATGCTTTAATTTTTATTCTTGCATTCTGTTAGAGAATAAAATCTTCATACATTAGGAAATTGTATATAACGTAATTGTTGCAATCCCATGATATATGGGTCACCCTTAATTCTAGCATAACAATAATTTATTTCCTAGAATAATACTCTGTTGTAGCTATATATATATATATATCTGTACATTGAAATAAATTAAACATCAATTCATTCTTCAATTTCACATGGTATCAGAGCTTACCTTGTGGATAATTTATTTCCTAGAATAATACTCTGTTGTAGCTATATATATATATATATCTGTACATTGAAATAAATTAAACATCAATTCATTCTTCAATTTCACATGGTATCAGAGCTTACCTTGTGGTGGCTCTTCTTTTTCCGCTGCAACTTTTATCTTCTTTCTCTTTGATTGAAACATATATTTTTTTTTGCATAAAAGCTTACCTTGTGGTGGCCTTTTTTTTTTCTGCTGCAATTTTTGTATTGTTTCTCTTTGATTGCAACAGATTTCTTCTTTATCTTCTTTCATCATGGGCAATGACGATGAGTGTTCTCAAAGCTTCATCATTGAGACCTCTAATCCCTTTTTTATACACTCTTCAGATCACCCAGAGCTCTTGCTTGTTACCAAACGCTTTAATGGTGATAATTATCCCATGTGGAAACGCTCCATAATTATCGCCCTTACAGCTAAGAACAAAATTGGTTTTGTAAACGGCTCTTATGAAACACCTTCGCAAGCAAATAAACCAGCTGACTTCGCACTCTGGGAAAGGTGTGACAAAATGGTGCTTTCAAAGCTACTCAATGCAGTCGAACCTGATTTAGCAGAAGGGGTTGTTTATGCAAACACAGCACGTGAAATCTGGAAAGACTTTGAAGATCGATTTTCTCAAGGTAATGCCCCACGGATCTACCAAATCCAAAAGGCAATTGCCTTCCACACCCAAGGTTCGATGCCTATATCCAATTATTATACAAAACTTAAAGGCTATTGGGATGAACTATCCTCCTACAGGGGAACACCATCTTGCTCTTGTGATGGAATGAAAGAATACAACAAGTTTAAAGAACAAGACCAAATTATACAGTTTTTGATGGGGTTAAATGATTCGTACAACGCCGTGCGTGGCCAAATCTTACTCATGAAGGAACTCCCAAGTGTTCGGGAGGTATATTCATTAATCATTCAGGAGGAGAAACAACGGGAAATTGGATCACCTATCATCGAAGGAGTTTCCATCGCAGCTGCCGTGAAAACACAAAAAGGAGGCGGATCTTCTCACCGTCGTTCTGGAAATCAGATTAGTTTTAGAAGCATACCAACCTCCTATGAACGCACACTGCACTGTACCTATTGTAATCAGGATCATCACACAATCGATCATTGTTACAA